TTGTTTATCTCTTAAGTGTCTCATTTAGCATTTTAGCAAAATCATCTTAATTAAAATGAAGCTCAATGAGCCATAATCTTAGAAACATATTACATATAGAATACAATACTTGCTTAATCTTATCTGTCTTCCACTTGATTTTCTGCTTTTCCACCTACAGATGAGCAATATTTTTGACAAATTTGTACTTTTTTTTGTCCACCAGAGTTTATAGAAATAGAGACACCCACATCTTTACTAGTTAATGGGTAACCAGCAAAGGACAATTTGCTAAGGAGAGATATTTGAAAGATGAAATGCATGCTCGACCCCAGGTCCTAATTAACAATTGGGTCCACCTTGAAAGCCAAAGCCCTAACGGGTAGAGGTGTCTCGTTGGACAAGCAGTGGGAAAGCTTGCCAGACAGTGCTTTTAATAGCAGGCTATGCGTTTTTCGATGATTTGACTCCAGCAGTCCCCCAATGCACATTCTCGGGTGTTCAAGCCTTGTGTCTTGCCAGCTTGCGCCTAATATACTCCAGAACATCCCATGGCACTATTTGAAAAGAGAAGGGTGTCTCTCGATATCCTGGCCAACAATTTCCCCCAGATACAAATGGTCATTAACTTCAAAGCTATTTGTGGGACATTGCTATGCGCAAATTAGCAGTTGTTGCCTTTGCCCTCAAAAGAATTGCTACGTTTTACAGTAAAATTCTTTGAAGCACTTGGAGATATCCTCCTAATGAAAAAGGTGCTATATTAAATGCAAAGTTTTTTATTTAAAACATCTAAACTTTAAAGCTTTTTAATAATAAGGTGAGAAACAACCTACACCTCTGAAGATATGCTATTTAACAGTGGAATTTATTTTTGAGTGCTACAACTGAGAGGCAGCTGACCAAAGTTCTTTGGAGTGAATAAAAATATTACGATTGGATTATCTTTTAACTGTAGACCAGCAGTAAGTTACCTAGTTTTCCCTTTCACAATTCTGCAGTTTTCAGCTTTTAATACTAAATAGTTTACTTTTTAAATCTGAAGAGCTAACTTGTAGAATCCAAAGTGAATTAATTTTTTTTGGCTAAAACTGATCAATTTTCAAGTAATGTTATTGTAAGATATTCCTAAAGGAGTTTGAATTTAGACATTATCTGAAGGAACTTTCATGACATTCGTACAGTCTTTCTTGTAGCTCTCTATAAATTGTGCTTGTTTAAGATCTGTGCTTCAATAGTTGGTAGAAAAGAGAATTACACAAAACTGAAAACACAGAATATTGAAGGGAATTTTTGTTTCCCTAGTTTATGTAAACCTGATTCAGTTGAGGTGTGATTCTCACTGTTGTTTGCTGATCTCAGATGAAAGGTTTGTAAGGTTTCTACAGGTGGCTCGTGCCCTTGGGGTGGGTGGGTATACGTGTGTGTGTGAGAATATCAAGTGTTGCCCTCACTGCAGATCACCATTCACTAACCCCTGCTGGAACGTGTGTCTGGATTTTGTATGAGGGTACAATTGGGCTTGACACGCAGGGAGTTCCTGGTACCTGCCATCCACCTGGTGAGGGCTCAAATCCATGCTTGACAGATGTCAAATGGCCGACTAGTGACTACTCTTTTTTTGGTGGAGGTGAGGAAGTAAGCAGTGTCTTCTTGGTACTGAACTGACTCCAAGTTGACATGTTTGGCAACAGAATGTCAGAATTGAACCAGGTCTCCGTAGGACTGTTCCTGAGCCAGGTGGGTCCTCAATACTCCAGGGCACTGCTGATGACAGCACAACCAGGCCTTTTAAAAGGGACTTGGAAGGGCAGGGACTCTTCTCACTCAGCTCCTGTTAATCCTGCAAGCCGAAGCCCAAATGGGTCATGTGGTGCTAGCTCGACAAGAGATGGGAAAGCTGGCCAGACAGTTCTCTCAATGGCAAGCTATGTGGGTTTAGCTGGTTAGACTCCAGTAATACACAAAACACACTCTGTGATCCCCAAGCGTTTGCTCTTGCTAATCTGCACCTAATACTTTCTGGAATTAGGTAAGCAGAATACATCCCTCCATGGAGAGTTTGTGCATTCCATTCTAACATCTCTCTGGAATTTCCATGTGTAGGTAGGATGCATGGAACTCTGTTTAGTTTGGATACTCTTAAGCATGGTGATGGGTTTCTGCATTGTCAGATACCCGGCTGACCAAAACATTGTTTTGTAGCATATGATACTTGCTGAGACTATGGGGAAATATTGCGGAAGACACCTACTTTATTATAATACTGAAATTATTTTGTACAGAACTTCTCGATGTTTGAATTAAAATGTGCAAATCTAAATGTGAATTAATGGTTGCTGAGCAAGCAGTGAATGACCATCCTGTTTATGCAAATAGTTTTTTTTGTAACAAATCTGCTGACTGACTTGACCAGTAAGAGAGACTGGAGTGAACCTTGAGTGTCCTTGCTTGTGTGGAACAAACATGTGATTTGGAGGCAGTGAGTTTATGGTAAATGACGCTGCTGTTTCTAGATTTTGGACAATGATCTTTGGGAACTGAATGCAGCAGAAGATTAGCACTAGATGCAAGCTGCCGTTTAATGATTCAGTGGAACCTTGTTCCTTGTATGCAAATGTTGGATTTGTTACATTGGAAGTTGATATGTCAATTCTGCAGGGGGCACATCACTATCCCTGGAGAAACTAAAGACATTACACTTTGTGAGCAAGGAGAATGGTGAGCTGCGGTAAGAAGTGACAAGCGGAAAAAAAATTCAAGCACTGGAATTTAAAGCCAGTGTTAAAAACTAACCAGGAATGATTTTAGATAAACTATTATGTTGTTCTTTCCAATGAGCCATGGCAAGTAGAGGCTGCTGAATTATTGATGACCGATTGCAAATGCTGAACTATGTGTGGTGAAGCTAGGTGTATTCCGTCAGCACTGTGGATCTCTGTTCAACATAAGGAAGCAGATGAATGTGTAGAAATGTTAGGCCACGCTAAACGGCTGTCCTGTGACTCTGCAGATCAAGGCCTGGATCTGTCTGATGCTTTTAAAAGCACCTTAGAAGCAAAGGAGAGTACAGTTTTAATCTTTACAATTGTGAAACCTGCCCTTGGAGGTCAGCGGGACAAGTTCTGTTCAAACCCTCCTGAAATTCAACCGGAGGATAAACTAGTAGCAGCTGACGTAACTACAATGCATCGAATAACCTCTACATGGTGCAATAAAGCATGGAAAGAAGATCTAAACAACAATGAAGATGAAACTTGTGGTGGAACAGATGATGTGATAGTGGACATGGTAACAAAACAGTGGCCTACTCCTGTGTTCCTTAACACAAAAGAAAATAATTTGAAGGTAGAGCAAATGGGTCGGTCGGCTGTCAGGCTGGCCTCAGGAAGCAGCGATGATGGCATTTTGGCTTCTGCACCAATCAATAAGTGCAATCTGATCACATTTGAGGCAGGAAGAAAAGTTGCTGATGTAGAGTGTGAAGACAATGCATTATTGGGTGACTGCAGCAATAATAATTGGTGGCTTACAGCCCAGTATTTTACTGGCTTAGCAGAGAATGCAGGGAGGTTTCCAGATATCTTTGGTGATCTGCAGACCAAGGAAAGGCTAATGTTGTCTGCTGACGTTGAAGGTACAGGGTGCATTGTTGCACAGGTAAAGCTCCCGGTTGGTTTATCTGAAATTATAGAACTCTTGATATTCAGAAAGAGGGAAAAAATGATGACCTTTTTAATGCACAGGGTACCAAAGAGTTGTGTCACAACTACATAACTCCACACCATTGAGAATCATTGTTCAGTATGTCAAAACAATATGAGGCAGCTTGGAATAGTGCAAACGGAAATCTGGGCTATCATACTGCATCAGAATTCAGATCCTCAGAAGTTGTACTCAAGCTATATAGTTAGTGCTCTGATCAGGCTGCACCTCAAGGACGACATACACTTCTGGTTACCTTTACATTAGGTGGCTTTCCAGACCATGGTGACAGAGCAGATCATTGAAGATGATGCTCAGTGTTAGAGGAATGAGCTATGATAAATAATAATAAGCCTTGCATTTTGATATAGAGTTTTTCACGTCTTCTAGACGTCTCAAAGCACTTCACAGAATATGCTGTAAAGTGAATTGACTGTATATTTGTGGGTGAAATGCAGCACCAATTGCGTACAGCAGTGTCCCACAAATAGTTGTGGATTGAAATTTATTATTGTTTTTGTTTTGAAGGGATTATTATTAGGCTTGTGGAGTAAGAAAACTTGCCCAAGGTTTCGCCCTGCCTGGAATTGAACCCAGGTGTCTCGCTTGCAAGGCGAGTGCTCTAACCACTGAGCTACAGGACTCCACAAGTAATAATCAGACAACCCAGGCATCTACAGCTTTAAAGAGCTTTTATCAGAGGGATCCTCAATAGAGGTATACAAGATTTTAAATGAGATTGAGAAAGTAAACTCAGATCCACTGAGACAGCAGAACAATATGATGCAGGTTAAGTGTTAACAAAGGACAATTTAAGGAGGTATTTATTTTCTCAAAGGCTAACCCATGACTGCAATGGGTTTCCATGAAGTGGAGTTGAAACCATCAAGCTGTCTTATTTTCCCCCAAAAAAGACAGCTTGATACTGGGATGGGAGAGTAGTGGGGTGGGTATTCTGGAAGGATGAAAGCAAGTAAGTTGAAGTTCTTCCTTGTTTGTAATCAGGAGCTAAAACATAAATGTAATCCCTTCAGAAATCACCCCTTATGGAAGCAAAAAAACGAACTGGTATTTACTCATGGATTCCTCTAGTTTCTGTGAAGTGCTTTGAGGCATTAATACTATGTAACATTTGTTATGTTAGTGCAAGTTGTACTGATAATGGTTTTCGATTGAAAACTGTGAGGGCTAATCTAATATATTGAAATAGATAGAAAAAAAATTCCATAAAAAGCATTAACTGTAGGACTTTCATGACATTTGATTACATGCTTTATCAGACTTATGGAAGTAATACTCTATTTTTTCAATAAAAGCAAGACAAGCTGTACACATGGGCAGCAGTGAGCCAACCAACCCAGTCTCGTGACCATGTGGAAGGTCGCATTCCTGGGAGAATTCAGGCTGTGTGGCCACCAAAAACGTCGTGGACAGAAGAAAAGCTTAACAGTACAGAATCTGGTAAGCAGACTGCTATTTATTATATATGTGTTCTGATGGGTGATATGTATTGCTTCTACTGCAGAGTGCACAACAATCATAAGATGTTTATTGGTACCTTGCAGTTAAGTTTTGCTTAATATTTGAAAAGTATGATGAAAGCTTTATGGGCACCTGAGGGAGAAAACATTTTCCCCAGTTGGATTGTTCACCTAAGCTTGTCATTGAGGACATTTTCCAGGTGATAAAGTTGTCAATTATAATTTAATAATATTGTAATCCTTACAATTGCTATAGTGTATTATCAAAACACTTGGATTTTCTTGCATTGAAATGTGACTGTGTATTTGTAGGCAAATACTATAGCTACTTTGAACACATCAATGTCCAACAAGCAGCCATGAAGCAAATGACCATTTTCTTTTATCTTGGGGATTGTTGGGCAGGACATTATGGAAAAATTGGCTTCATTTTCAAATAGAACACTTGCTTCAACAGGCAGATGGGACCTCAGTTTACAGCTCTCCTGAAGGATGGAACCTATAATGCAACTCTCTCTCTCTCTCTCTCTATATATATATATATATGTAATGTGTTTACACATCCCACAGTTTTGACTCGCATTTTCAGGAACTTTTGCATTTGTTCCTACTTTTCATGCGGCTTCATTTCCATCACCATTAATGAGACACCGGAGATTCCGCTGCATATTTTATCACCTGTTGTCAGGAACTGTTAGTCGCAAAGTAATTTTGAACTTTCTGTTACCTATTTTCTTCAAGTTAAAATGACACTTTTGAGAGATGTGATTGTGAAAGGCGTGATCATGTGAGGGTAGATTTAGAACATTTAATAAAAACTAATGAACTTTTCACAAGATCTCACAAAATTGGTTTCAGATGGAGAAGGTCCATTTGATCTCATCCTTCCAGAAAATCCTCCCTACTGTCCTCTGTTATAGTATCAAGCTGTTTTATTTTCAATGAGCAGATCAACCAACATTCCTGGTGATGTGTTGCAGTTGTTAAATACCTTCTAGGTAAATAAATATTTCCTGACATCTGTCCTGGAATTGCCCTTTGCAACCTTAAAACATGCTTTCTTGTTCTTGTGCCTTGATGCATCTGAAAGTATTGTTTGGGGTTTGCTTTCTCAATCCCATTTAAAATCTTGTGAATTCCTCTCTGAGATGTTCCTTTCAAAGCCCGAAGAGCCCTAGTTTGAGTAATTGTCATTCATAAATCTTTCACTGGGGATCATCCTTATTGCTCTCCCCTGTACTACCTATAGAACTTGGGCAGCCTGCTTATTTCATGCCTCCCAGAACTGTATAGCCTGAGTATAACTTCTGGGTACCTGAACTCAGTTGATTTTAGCAATGTAGCCCAGTATCCTGTTTGCCTTGTTTATCACTGCCTTCACTGTTTGACATGATGAGCGATGAGTCAATTAATACCCCTGGATCTTTTTCAGCTTTCCCTTTGGCAAGTTCTATCCAATCCATGGAGTACTTGCATTTGCTATTTTTCATTCCGAAATGCAGTACATTGCATTTGTTTTATTGAGCTTTCATTTACCAGTTATCAACCTGTGTGCATATCCTGTCAACCATTTTGTAAAACGCTTGCTGCCTCCTCTGATTCTCCCCAAATTAGATGGTATCATCCCATTAATTTCCTTAGAGTAAGATGAGCGCTACTTTTTTTCCAGATACCAAACCTCTGCTTTTAAATTATTTGTTGTTCCATGTTGAAAACTTTTCAAGTTAACATTATCTTGGTGGTTTCTTTGTCATGTCATCTCTAACCTGCAGCTTTGGGATAGCTGACGGTTTTTGACAAGATTTAAGTTCTGTCTTAAATAGCTCAATTCTGCTCTCATTTCTGCTGCTTGAATTGATTCTCTTGAAATATAAATTGTTCCTTTAGCTCTCTCCTCGGAATATACTCTGTATGTAATTTGGAGAATATATTCTATATGTAATCCAAAGCATGCTACAGTAGAGTCCCAATTTAAAACCAAGAAAACATAGCAGCAAGCAGGAAAAGAGCCAGCATCAGTGTTTGGAAGAGCTGAACAAATAGTTTAGAATTTAGCTTTAAAGATTGGACTGCCAATAAGACTGCTATGGTTACAGGAAAAGATATCCTGCCAATTTTCTCTCAAAACTGTCCCAACCTCTAAAAGAAATGATGTGCTATGAAACAATGATTAAGAATATTTTATTGGCAGAACTGATGTCCTATATTGACAACAAATCACATTTTTGACTAACTGAACTCAAAACTTGCTTTTTTGATAAATATTGCACTTTGTTTATAAAATATAGGAAATCCTTTCTTTGTCTGAACTTTCCTATAGTTAAACATTTTAAATACGATTAATTCTGGTACCTAGGCCAGGTTTTTAATGCCTGGATGTGATGTTTACTTAACGCACAACCCTGATTAATTTGGTTGGTAAATTCTAAAGAACTATGTCATAGAACACAAACATGACCTTAGTTTTGCTGCATACCCTCATTAGTTTAGATGCATTTAATCTATATTTATTCTGCTAGTAATTTATCAAGATTTAACAAACTTGATAAACTCAACCTTGTACCAACCTTCAACTTGGTGAGAAGGGTCTCCTTGAAACCGAGCTGACTTGAGTTTGTTTAAAAGGTGTATGTATGAGAGAAGGGGTGCAGGTGTTCCATGATCTACTTGCTGATGGTTATAATGTTGGGTTTGGATACTCTAGGAGTTCTCAGACACCTGCTGTCAAAATAAAATCTAAATACATTTGCTTATAAATTGAGTAATGTTCAAGTAGCAAAGAGTGCACAATTTAAAATGTTTCCAAGAGGGAAACTCAAAATTAAATTTCTCTTTCGCCTTTTGTTCTCCCAAAAAAGTTCAAGGTCCAGAGATTTTTTTTAAACTAATATTTTAAAACTCAATTATTTAGTTTTTAAAAAATGCACAAATATTTGTGCCTTTCTATCCTCTTCTAAAGATGCTGGGCACCTTTTTATCTTTAATTAGAGGGCTCCATCTTATCTAGGTGTCCTGTGTATTTTGCGTGTGTCTGTGTGTGTGTATCTTCTGCATATATTTTTGCCTTCAGCAGGAATGTGATTTATTTTCCCCTTTCACTTTCCTACTATTTTATGACCTACTTGCTGGAGGATTGCAAAATTTCTTTTGTTTGCGGGCCGTCTGGTGTAGGTCAAGTATCCTATTAAGCATGGTAGTGGGTTTCAGCATGTGTCAGACACCAGACTTCCCAAAAAACAAAGCATTATAGCAACTGCTCAAAAACCAATTCTATGCAGTGCACCTACAAGTGGAAATTCCCGTGTTTGTTTCGAAAGGAAGATGTGCTCTCTCCATGGAGGGACACACTTTGCTTACCTATTTCTGGAGAATATTGGACTCGGGTTCACAAGAACCAAGATCTAGGGTCCAGGGTGTGTGTTAGAGTCCTGCTGGAGCTTAAAAAGTTAAAACCTGGGTAGCTTACCATTGAAAACACCATCTGCTAAGCTTCCTGCTGCTTGCCCAGCAAGGAACAGTCTATCCATTGGGGCTTTGGCTTGCAGAGATAACGTCTCGTATATATTAGGCATGTTTGCTTTGGATTTGCTCAAAGCCAACTGGATCATACTTGCCACCTTTCTGCCCATTGAGCCTGTTCTGCCATTTCATAAGATCATGGCTGATCTTTTAATTCTATTCCTCAACAGCAAAAAAAATGGCTGCTCCTGCTCCTCTACTCCACCATCATTGGCTAAGCCTTCAGCAATATGCTCCCTTGCTTCCATCTCGCCCCCTCTTTAAATCCTGACCAAAATTCTGCCTCTTTACCTGTAGTCTCCTCCATCCTCACTTAGTGTTCAACATCATCCCTGTGAAGTGCACCAGTATTATTCCACATGAACGGTGCTAAATGCAAGTTGTTACCTTATTTGCTGCCTTATCCTGTTTGGATGTGGTGAGCAATGAGTCAAATAACACTCCTAGGTCTCTTTCAGCTTCATTATTTGCAAGTTCTAATCATTCATTGAATAAATTTGCCATCTTTTTTTACTTCATATATTCAGAACCTTGCATCTATTTGAATTGAACTTCATGTGCCACTCATCAGTCCACATGCATATCCTATTAAATTTTTGTTCCAATACCTTTTGATTCCTCAATTATATTCAACTTGGTGTAATCTGCAAATTTAACTACCTTGCAACTTGAATTGCGAATCCAGGTAATTCATGTGTACAAGGAACAGGAGATCTGACAATGACTTTACTTTGCTTGTGATACTACCATTGCATAAAGATAACATCTCAACTTTATAAACTGGTATCAACAACAAAAACAACAAATTACATTTGAATAGCGCCTTTCAAGTCGGGAGGACTTCCCAAGGTGCTGGGCAATCAGTGCCTCGGCAGGATACAAGAGCCATGAAATATTTATATAATTCTGTCTTCTACTCCTACTCATTTCAGAACATCAAGAAACTGTTCTAAGTTTGAAGAGGATACAGAACGAGGAAGTACAAACATTGCAGGTAAATCACAACTTTTAAATTGCCTTTCGATTTTGTTCATCATCCTGCATGCAAAGGTGAGGCTGTATTGCTTTACAAACTGATGGCAATTAAATTGAACTGCATATGTGAAAATTGTGAATATTGTTTGGGATTTTTGAAATGTCCTACATGATACAAGATTATCATGGCAACCAAAGGAAATCTGACAATGCCAGCTAAATTATCAAGTAAAAATTATTATAAATTAAATAATGAAGTACATAACATGTCTTAATCTGCAAGTTTACTAATATGTTACTTTAAAACTCATAACAATTACTCACTTAATTTTTAAAAAAATTCCCATTTGACCTGCTTTTTAAAAAAAAATTGCTCCACATAGACAGAATTGAGGCAGTCTTGTTTGACTTTTGCCAGCATCTTCATGGCTTAGATATCTCAATGTCCCTAGTTGCTAGGTCTAAATGATTCCACTGATATGCAGTCTTGGCCTGAGTGTTTGATTCTGAGCTGAATTTCAAACCTCATTTCTGATCAATCATCTTCCACCTCTACAATGTTACCTGCTATGTCCCTATGGCCGAGCACTATTTCATCCCTAAGGTTGGATTTCTCCATTGCTGCCTCTTGTCTCTTCTTCACAAACATTCTCATCCATAACTTCAGGCCAAGTGCTGCCTTCCATAGGCTCCGGCAACCCTCAACCCCAACAGATTTACTTCAAGATCCTTGTATTTGCCCAACTGATCTGTCCACTCTTCACCAGCCCCGAGTCCAAGGCCACACTCTCTCTTACCTTTGATGACTCCAGCCAACTGCTTGTCCCCTACTCTCCCTTCTCCCATCTTTGGAGACCAAGTCTGTAGCGACCACATCTTGGCAAATTTTCCTTCCTACCTGATGGTTCCTCCCACTGCTCCCAATGTTAAGCATTGTGAAGCATTTTGAATTGTGTTTATATAAAGGCAGATTGTTCAACTCGAAGTGCAGTCTAAACATCGCAGTATCATAGTAATTAAAGTAACGAAAGCTATTGCAGTGCGTAGAAAACATGTGGGATCATTTAAAGTCAGAACAAACTCATAGTGTTAACCCCTTATTGACTAAAGAAAATAACAAAAAATGTACTATTGTTCTTCAGAGTTTCATTGTCTGTTACACAGGCCAGCTTCAACAGCGTTTGTTCCCTTACTTGTAAAGTGTGTTGCTTTCAAGGTTTTTACAGTACGTCTAACACTCAGTAGAATTAAAGATATGAACATAGTTGATTACATTCCAGTCAGTTTTTCCCCCCGAATTTAGTTCCTCAGTCATTACGTTACTTTACTATTGTTGTCGACTTGCCTTGTGGCTAAGATTGTGGGCACCCGTTTAACATCAAAATTAATAAAAGATATTTTAAGAAAAGCTTTATTTTACCACATCCTGTTTTGCTTAAAATGATGTAAATTGTGGTTATCCTAAATTAATTGCGCTAATTTTTGTCTCTGCCAGTAAATATTTCTTCCGTAGAAAGTATCCTTCTCACTTCACACCCTCTGATAGAGCCAAGAATATTTATCAATCTGTCAAGTTGTTTTATTGTGATGTAAACATTGGATAAACTATAATCTGCACAAGGAAAGGTTAGTTGTGTAATATATATACTTGCGTATTCACTCTCTCACTTTGTAGATCAATGTACAAAGGTTCTCTTCATAGTGTAAATTATCCACTTGGAGTAATTCCACAATTCAAAGGTCAATAGGGTCTTGAACAGGCAATTCTAAATTGGCTTAACTTTGAAATCACTTTGGCGCACAACATCACCAAAAACACATGAGTCATAGACTTCAATATAGCTCTTGTATTCCTTGAATTGAATGCAACTTCCATTTCTCTTGCATACTCTTGCATACCTGGTATGGAATGTTTTGTTTGTAAGCTTCCTTAGGGTCACATTGCACCATGAGTTAACATGCTGGTCTTTGATTTTCCGAGAACTGAGGTTGAACCTCTCCTGAAGTTGAGAAACTGGTTTTGTGTGTGTGAGTGAGAGAGAGCAATTGTGTTCAGAAAATGGAACCATGCAAATGGATCCTAATAAGCTTTTCTGGTCTAGCATGTCCCCCAAAAAATGGATTTTCACCCAGAGTTGATTAGAGTTCTAGACTGATCTTGTGCAATAATTTCTTCTGGAACTTTTCTGGGTACTAACCCTTCAAAAAAAAAAAGTAAAACTAATAACAACACGTTGGTCAGTCAATCCACGACTGTTTGTGGGACACCGCTGTGCGCAATTGGCTGCCGCGTTTCTCCCACAAAATATACAGTCAATTAATTTACGGTATAATCTGTGGAACGCTTTGAGATGTCTCGAAGACATGATAAGGTGCTATTTAAAATTCAAGGGTTATCCTTAATAGTAGTAGTGAAATTGTGTGGAAACTGAACTGCAAAGTATCAGTATCTTTTTAATAGAAGGCCTTATGCATGACATTGTATTTTTTTAAAAATACAGACTGAATTGCCCTCACTGCTCTGATTAATGTTTATTTAAGGGACGTGTCCTGCAGCATTTTTAGTGTGGTGATAGGAAGCGTGGAGATTTCATACTGTGATTGTGCCACCCGCTCACATGCTGACAATTTTATTCATCCTCAGCAACAGCAGTTCAAGCATTCTCCATTGTAAGGTCTTTTATTGCAATAGTTGGCTTAACTTATATCTATATATTTATGGACATCCAAGATTTTTTTTCATGTTTATGGCTTTCTAGATTTACACAGCATCTCCAAAATAATTAATAAAATAATCTTAATTTTTAGAAGACCAAAGTTAACTTTGTTTGGGTCTTAACTTGAATATGTCCTTAGCTTTCATCAATTACTGTGTGGCTGTCTGTTTTGTTTTCTTTCCCTATTCTTTGAATGGCATTGTACCTTGCACTAAGCGAAAGCCACTAGGTGGCACTGAAACACTTCATAGCCTTCGAGTAATGTTAAAGGTGGACAAATAAAATTTTAGCGAGACTTTTCCTTACTTGCATTGTCTAGGGTCATTGGATGTTTTGTATTTGTGGCCTTTTAGATCTTAGTGATGGAGAATGCATGCGGTTGCTTTTACCCAATGTTAAAAATGCACATCTTCCTTTTATGATGAAATGGAATAAGCTGATGTTTGACATCTTGTGACTAATTGGACTGATGTGGAACATGTTTGTTTAAAATTTCTTGAAGAGCTTCTTTCAATTGAACATGATCTCTTGTATCTTGCACAAACTGTTTTTGCTTCTTCTTATATTGGTTCTTATATATTATATTTCCTCTGGAACTAACTCCATCCTGCTGTCCTCCGCCTTGCTCCTTCCCTTACCTCCTTCAAGACCCATCTCAAGACCTTCCTCTTGGATTGGGCCTTCGATAACCCCCCGCCCTCCACCCTCCCCAATCCTGATCCCCAGCTCAGGTCCGAAACGCTGATTGTCCAGTGCCTTGGGAAGTCCTTCTGACTTGAAAGGCGCTAAACAAATGTAATTTTGTTTTTGTTGTTATCTATGTAGGGAAATGAAAGCCTGAAGTAACACACTGGTAGCAAATTCATTTTTAATGCTTTCTGAGTTTAGAAATTGGTATGTGTGGTTTGGTAGAAATTCGAGGGTTACATTTGGTGCAAACGTGAAGATAGAGATGAACTAATGAAATCTGTTAATTAGTTACAAACCATTAAGATTTTTTTTAATATAAACTTTGATACATTGCATTGGAGCATCAATGTACTGTGACAAGTAATAGAAAAAGGCTTAAGTTCATAAAACATAATTTTAAAACAAACTTGGTGTAGTCAATTTTTTTTTACATAAACTGGCATATGCCTCTCAGCTCCAGGTCTAGTGGTGGTTCCACGGGATGACTTTACCTAATAATAATAATAATCCTTGCATTTGATATAGCGCTTTTCACGTCGGGAGGACGTCCCAAAGCGCTTCACAGAACACACTGTAAAGTGAATTGACTGTATATTTGTGGGTGAACGCGGCAGCCAATTGCGCACAGCAATGTCCCGCAAACAGTCGTAGATTGAAAATGACCAATTTATTATTGTTTTGGGGGTTTTGGAGGGATTATTATTAGGCGTGTGGAGTAAGGAAACTTGCCCAAGGTTTCGCCCTGCCTGGAATTGAACTCAGGTCTCTCGCTTGCAAAACGAGTGCTCTAACCACTGAGCTACAGGACTCCACGAGTAAGTGGTTGTTCTTTGACTCTTAGCTTACGTAGTGAATGTATGATATGTGGCTCTTTCATTGAATCTGATCGTGCCTCTTCCCCCACTCCCCGTATGCATTTTGGTGCATGGAGGCCAATCTTAGTGTCTCAACTTGCTGATAATAACAAATTTACACTGAAACTGGATCCCTCTATTCTCTGTAGCCCGATGCCTGTGCCTGTTTAGCATTGGGGGCAACATTAGTAGTTTAATAATAATAATCCTTGCATTTGATATAGCACCCTATCAGGCCGGACGGATGTCTCAAAGTGCTTCACAAAAATTATTGTGAAATGGATTGAATATATTTCTAAGCAAACGTGGCAGCACAATTGTGCACAACAATGTTCCACAAACAGCCATAAAACAAATGACCAATTTATTTGGGGTATTTATTGGCCGGAACACCGGGAGAAACTCCTTTCTCTTTTCGAATACAACTTTAACATCCACTTAAACAGATAGATGGGACCTCGGCTTTATATATCCAAAGGATGGCACTTCTGACCTCTGTCACACATCCAGTACTGCATTGAAGTGTCAGCTTAAGTATGTGAGTTCAAGTCCCAAGTGGGATTTTAACCTACAACCTTCTGACTCTGAGTGAGAGTGCTACTACAACTGAACCAAGCTAACAGACAGTTTGGAAGTTTTAGGACAGAACTATGATGTTGGTAGTGTTTTTGTGTGCTTCAAAGGGTATAGCTTTTAGTGCATCTCTTAGTCCAATTAGAAAGTTGCGCTGAAAGACATTTTCTGCTATTCCAATGACT